AGGGACCACAGGACACCGTTACATCTGGCCTGCGCCGTTGGAAACGGCGTCATCACTCAGTTGCTCATTTGGGTAAGTGTGGGTATGCGATAAATGAGGTGATGCACTGGACGACAGTTGGAGTCAGTGTTAAGCTCGTCAGTCTGCTACAGCGCATGTAGCATACTTTACAATTTACAAGTAGTTTGACATTTTCAGATCCTGTGAAATTTTCGGCATACCAGTGATAATATTTGACTGATGTTCAATAACAGTACGGTTTAATTTACCTGCTATTACTTCAAGGTTTTTACCGATTGGATCAGTGAACACGCAATACCGTGTGGTGAGAGAATAATTCGTTAGTTCACATTATTCTGGAGGTCGATTCGCGTATAAACTTTTTAAAAGGTTGGAGCTGTTTCAAGTCTCGCCTGATTATTGGTAAGAACGCTAAAGTTTTGGTAGGTGTTATATACAGCAAAGAAGATCTAATTTCATTAATAGGTGCAGAATTGGAATACAGTCTGAATGTAAGATCATACCAGTGGTTAATATAAATGTATTATTTGCAGTTGATCGATATAGTGGCTCTTACAAGTGTCCTTTTCTTTCGTTTAGCCTCTTTTCCATTTGTTTTTGAATTGTAGACCTCTGCAAGTGTTGTCGTTGTTTTATCATCGTCATCTGGTATCATCGACAGAGCATGAATGGCAGAGTAAGCTACATGTCTGATGTTTGACCGTTAGGAGTCGTACTTCGGGTTGATATTAGTCACTGTTCACATCTGCAATGTGTGCTTCTCACTGTTATTTTTACCACTGACCGCTTTACCACCAGAATTTGACTTGAATGGTTTGTACTTTGTTCAGCACCGTTATCTGTCTGAGGATCAGTGTCCTGTGATCTGAGTAATGAAAATTAAAGATTTTCTTTCACCCCGTCACCTTCATCCTTGTTAATGAAGTGGCAGATTTCTGAAAGAGAGAGAGAGAAACGTTGAAAGTATTGTACTAGTGTTTCCGCTCAACTAATCTCACGACGTATCTTCACTATTCTGAAAATTTTAGGAGATAGGTTTGGAGCTCGGCCATGCAGAAAACGCGGAAGTCCCACTGGTACCAAACTATTTATAATGAGAAAAGTGACTGATCCCGATGTTCATTAAAACGGACATACTCGCGTGGGTAGAGGATTTGACCTCAAATGGAGCGAGTTTTAGTCAGAAACCTGTTAGGCATCGATCAGGTTGCAACGTGATTGATCACATAGTGGCAGATTCGTGGAGGAACTGTTCCTTGTACGACGCCGTAACAACTCTTATTGCAAAACGTTGAAATGCACCTGATATCGCACGCAGGAAATTCGATGGCAAAGGACGCAGGATGATTATTATTATTGCAGTGAGCAACAACAAACGTCAAATTGTCAGAAAAAGACTGCAGGATCGGACACGGGTTTCGGAATACTATTTCCATCTACCTGCGAAAAGTCATGAAATATTTTTTAGTGCTATTTACTTCCTGATTAAAGGACAATGTACGTTTAACATTTATTTCGTAGGCTGATTATAGTGAAAGACATTGCGTGTATGTAATAATACAATTCCGTTTGTTTTTTGCGATTATATTTACTTTAGTCGACTTATGCCAAATAAAAAATGACGACTTTTAAGTGCTGTAATTTC